TTTTGTCCAGACATGTTTAGTCAGGTTTCATTGTGACAAATATAATATAATTATTTTATTTTTAAAACTTTTTGTCCACACATGTTTATCAGGTTTCATTTTGACAAATTCACTATTTTTTTCTCAGGTTAGTAAGAACACAATTTGTATAAAAAGATCAGTTTTATGGTTTACTTTCAAATCTTTAGATATTCAAGACTGATTCTGCTAAACAGCTAACAGTAGTTCCCACAGTATTAAACAAGGATAAAACACGGATACATAATACAATAATTTATCTATAATAAGGAATAGAAAGCAGCCTAAAGGTGTCAAACTATATGGTATTATCACATATATAGAGCTATGTTTTCGAAATGGTTTTCTATAATAATCATGAAGATAATGTCATATAATATCCTTTGAAAAGTTTAATCATGCTGAAAACAGCGAAACTGACTACTTGGACATTAGTAAAGAAACGGAAATTAAACATTCCTTGCAGTATTACTAAATAAACACAAGCAAAAATCCTAACGAATAAATCACAAAAAATATTAAACTCACGAACTTTCAACTCTTATGTGTAAATGGAATTACAAGTCAAGCAGAAAAATAAACTAATGAACAATTGGAAATAAAATATAACATTTTCAGGCATAATGAACGAGAATTATTCAATATTTTTTGATGATATGAAACCGAAACCAAAACCAAGCGTCTTCTTATTAGGTAAATCTCCGAAGGTAGAACTCTAATTTGACCAAGGTGTACTGAATGCTAATACTTCTTATGCAATTGGAATTTGATTATCGAACGAAACACATTAGAAGTAAAACTTGAAAGGTTAGTTATTCCAGAATCAAGCAACATTGGGCTATCTACTGTGTCAACTGCGTGAATCGAACCCCGGAATTTAGCGTTGTAAGTCTGTAAACTTACCACTCTCCCACGGGGGGACACCTGAAAGGTTTAAACAAAGCCAGTATTACACTAGTAACTGGCTGTGAGCTTAATAGTTACCATTTGTTTGCGTTAAAATCTCCATGATCGATAATGAATTAACGTAAAGTATTTCAATAACGGATTGTTTTATATATATACATGTAATGAGTTTTCTAAACGGACAACTACTTTACTTCATATAAAATGTAATGTAGCAATATGTGCACCTAGATTTTCTATTTGTTTTTTCTAATCGCTAGATAATTATATTAACTCAAACGAAACTACTGAAAGATGAAATATTTACACTAAAAATTACTCTGAGTTATTTGAAATACATTTGATATCTGCTTTGCAGTGTGGTCTTACTTGGCGTCAAATATTACTACAGAAGGAGGAAAGTCCATCCACACAGTAACTACTGCGATAACGACCCATGATACTAACATTCCGAGGGCGGCGAGACCAATTCCTATACGTGGCCACCTGTTGGTGAAAATATAAATTATTTATTGTTAAACGTCTGGCGTTGTTTTCAATAAAGACATTTTAGGATACCGCGCAATCTTTAAAGTCGTTGATATATAAACATGAAACGTAGGATTATCAGGTTGGATTGTTATTGTTGCTTTTAGTTTCGGCATTTCCCCTTAAAGATTATAAAGCAGTGGACATATTTTAATATAACTTTGTTTTACTATAAAATATGATATCAAACTGATTTGACACGTTAAATGAAATAAGTAATCTTCAATGTTGAAACAAATTAAAAAGTATATTTTGCATAAAAGCTATAAACCTAATGGAGTTTATCTAAAAGAAGATTATTAAATCCGTATTATAACAGCTATGGTAGTTGCTGCTAATGCTTTGTTTTTCATTTTTAGAAAAAGAAAATGAGAAAATTGGCACAATAAACTTATAAAAAATCTACGGTATTATTTATCTCTACAGCGTGATAAGAACAGAAGGAGATGACCCTCGAGGGGCTAGAGGTAAGCCTGTGAGTTTATAGCGCTAAAAATTGGGTTTTGTTACACGCGGTGGGTAGAAATGAGACATCCCATTGTGTAGTTTTGTGCTGTACAACAAACATACAATGAGAGGTGAAAATTGTCATAATAAAATTTCAGTGTCATGTACCTATATAAGGCGATAAGAACAATAGGAGATATCAGGTACATCTGCATATCAGCTGCTAAGTACCAAGTCGGTCCGAAACACTGAAAAAATAAACCAAAACATACATTCAGAAAAGTCGACCCCAGACTTTAAAAAATAAAGAACTCTTATTAAGTTACAAATGTATATTGAAGTGTTATAGGTGAACCAGTAAAATATCAATATAATGAAAATTACTATAAAAGTTAGAGGTTTACAGAACGGAACGTGAACGATTTCAAAAACACGAAAACTAATATTTTTTGGACCTTCCATATTCGTTAATAAATAAGTTTAGTACCTACGTTACAAAGTTCTCGATTTAATCAAGTGACACTTAATATAGCCCATGACATCGAGTTGTCCCCTCGGTGGTACAGCGGTAAGTTTATGGACTCACATCGATAAGATTTGGGGCTCATTTTCCCGCGGCGGACACAGCAGATAGCTCACATGGCTTTGCTCTGAATCAACAAATATCAAGTTCTGGTTTTAGACATCTGGTGAGTAATTTTGGTACCTGGACTTCTTTGTGGAAAATCATCATTACGACGTCTTTGAGATCGGCTCAACACTATTAGACGTCAAATCTGAGCTAATTTAGAAACGAAACACAAACAAACAAAATGTCCGACCTTAGGAATAGTGTCACATGCAGGCAAACACTGATTACGGCAGCTCTATCTTCCCACTGTCCGGTCAGTAATCCTAGAAGGCCAGCTTGGTGGTCACTTGTTTGTTGAATTTTGCGCAAAGCTACTCAAGAGTTATCTGTGCTTGCCGTCTTAAATTTTGAAGGGGTAGACTAGAGGAAATGCATCTAGTCAACACTACCCACTTGCAACTCTTAGTTTGCTCTAATTGAATAGTTGGAGGTGACTGTCACTCTTATAATGCACTCATGACCCCAAAATACGGAGTGCAATTTTGGGGGTAGGGGGGTGGAGTGAGCCCCAGAACCTCACATCCACAGTCCAGCACACTAACCACTGGCCGCGATTGTCCTTTCAGTGGTCATCAATATTACAACTTAATGAGTAGACAGAGATACCCTAGACCAGGGGTCACCAAACTACGGCCCGCGAGGTCAGTTCATCCGGCTCACCGCTGCACTGTGCCACAAATGAGCTAAAATATAACTATTTATATGGAAATATCATAGATTGTAGATAAACTTACTATGTAAAAAAAATTAAAATAAGTGTGAGTAAAAATGTCAAAATTTGTCCAGTCTGATTTTTGCATCTGACAGTAATATAAGTTTTTAGGAAAATCAGTGAAATAAAAAATTCGGCAACTTTTTGTGACCTGCAATGAGAGTTCATTCCTGCAGTCGCCTCTGCGTGCATTGTTGTAAGACGATACAATGCTTACAGGCAGTTGATACAAGTAGTGTAACGAGTGTGCGCGTGGTTACACAACTTTCTGATAGAAAAGACGTGTGTGTGTATTGTGTGTGCTTCTACGTATATTTGTGTATTGTAGATATGTGTTTATATAATTATATTTAAATCTGGAACACTGGTTCAATACACGGATTAAACCCGAAGAGGCGACTTTTTGCGACTTTGGATATCAGAGCACTTTTTGTTTAAGTACCTGCAATGAAGTTTCCAAGAAAAGCGATTACGAGCCTGCTGCAGCGATCATGTTTTAGCTTGTATTGCCGTGTTTAAACTGTGTTTTTCAGAATTTTTTTTGACATGTATATAAACATGATAAACTAAATGTAAATAGTTCACGACATTAAATTAAGTTATTACGTAACTGGTTTAAAAGTTTTTTCCTGATAAGTTATTTGATTAAGCAATTTTTATAATTTGCCAGTGTATTTAAAATTTATTATGTAAGTTAATTAGAATAACTTCATAAAAAATAATTAAGATTCTTAATACGCAAATATAGTATTAAGAGTTTGATACTAATTTAATTAAAATCTTTGTTAATTTAATTCAGTCGTTTTTTGAGTCTATAGCGATTAAAATATAGGGCTTAAATAAATATCAAAGTTTGAAAATATTAGATGCTTACCTCTTGTGAGCTCTTTTAACACTCAAATATGCAAAATATATGACATAATTCACTGATGTCAGTCCCTTTTATCAACGGCACTCTTCAAACCGGTTTAAACATGGCAACGCAAGTTAAAACACGATCACTGCAGTAGGCTCGTAATCGCTTTTCTTGGAAACTTCATTGCAGGTACTTAAACAAAAAACGCTCTGATATACAAAGTCGCAAAAAGTCGCCTGTTCGGGTTTAATACGTGTATTGAACCAGTGTTTCAGATTTGAATATAAATATATAAACACATATGTACAACACACAAATATATGTAGAAGCACACACAATACACGCACACGTCTTCTCAATCACAAAGCTGTGTAACCACGCGCACACTCGTCACACTACCTGTGTCAACTG